CAGAAGAAGCCATGACAAGCAAAGGCAAAAATAGAAAGAATGGTTGGAGAAGAAGATCAAGAACCAGAGCAAGGAAAGCAACGAGCAAACAAGAAAGCAATGAGCAAGAAAGCTTGGGTGCGAAGGAAAAGAGGAAGAGAATGGTGAAAGTGATTTTCACCTTAGGGTAAAAAGAGTTTTAAGTGGGTGAATGGGCCTGAGGTAAAACGGGTCCATAAATTTAATTCAATTCAAATTTTAAAACCAAAATTTGAAACAGCCGCCAAGACGTTAGTGCATAGACAGGGTTATGGAAAAACGTAAGCATGCGCTGTCAAAGTAATCAATGTCAAATCAAATAGTCAGTGCATTAAATTGATGGTCAGAAATAGGTTTTCATCGAAGGAATCACCAATTAATATCAAATAAAACAAATTCGAGAAAGCATCAAAGAAAAACCTCGACAGGAATTCAGTTTTCTTCCACCTGGTATGTTCATCAAAACTGAATTCCTAGGGGGGCATTTGTTAGGTCTACTCGAGAACCATATGAGTCGAAGGCCACATTTACGAAGCTGCTCGAAAGAAAGATAAAAATCAACACCTATGGAGAAATCATCACGAGTCTTATTTGTTTGTGCTCGGGATATAGTCGAATAAGAAATTGGTCGATTAGAGCTCGAAAAAGCAGAAAAAGAAGTTACTGGAGGTTCCTGACAGTTAAGGCGCACTAAGGTGGTTATTAAGGGTCGAATCGAGAAAGTTGAAACGTGGGATGAACGGTTATGAGAAGTTACGATTTAAAGCCACATAATAAGCATAGTGGATAGCGGGTATCCTCTAATGGCGTACATGCACGAAACTAACCGCTCGGTATTGGCTCTATAAATACAAGAGTTATGTACCTTCACAAAGGTCGGAAAACTCATACTTGAACTCTCAAGCACTCACCGCCTGCGCATATGGCTTTCGTGCAAGGAGTATGATCACTTCTCGACCACATTTCTTTTCTCTTTTTAGGATTAGGATTAGTGTAGTTTTCTTCTGTTAATCACGTAGTGTAGTTATGTAATTGTAGTAACATGCTTCATCATTTCAATTGTAACTTTATGCGAAGTGAACCATGATTTGTATTGCTAATATATCTATTGTTCATTTTGTTTATCTGAGTATTTACGTGCATGAACATTATTGTCTGTTAATCATTGACGAATATTTGAAAACAAGCAATCATTGAAACTTTCTACTCCATTTCTCGTTCTGCATTTCATTTCATAAAAGCATCAAATACCTAAATTGAAACACTTCTTGTGCTAGTTCGAATAAAAAGAATCCGTAAAACTAATTCCACCGTAAACAATGGTGCTAGTTGGAGAAATAAATTTGCACGATTGTTATTTGGGTAATTTTTTTTAAAATGGTATTATTTGTATCCCTTTGTGATTATTTTCTACCATTCATTTATTTGTTTTGTTGCTCCTTGTTAGTTTTTGTAAATTGGAGGATTATTTTCGCTGCGCACGCATTACATTAATAAATATTTTATAAGTTTATTTAAAACAATTCTTATGAATAAAAAAAATGGACGACTCTACACAAAAAGTGTCATTCATGCCATAATCTAAGTACTACCAAAGCATATAGATTTAAGAGTTTATATATTCTATATTCGTAGGGCAAAAGTTAGCAATTTCAAATTCTTGATTCAAAGTTCTTCCGGTTAAGTCTTTGTAAGGTTACGATGCCAAAAAATTCAAATCCTGAGTCGAGACTAGTTAAGGATAATTTTAGATTTGTTAACTCAGTTTTAGTGACTTTTATCATATTATATCAAATTTAAGAATTTTAACAAATAATTAATTAAGACTAGTTTTGTTTAATATAATGGTGACTAATAGTGGATTTTTTCTTCTTCCATATTTTATACTACCATACTATATATAAATTTACACTACTAGAATTTTCTTTATTACTTGGGGATTTTCTTGCATCATTGGATTCCTCAACGGGACTTGATGTTTCTCTTTTGATAGGGAGACAGAGAGACATGTGTTTCTAATTTGGCATATTGGGGACCATGACCATCTTTTACAATTTTAAACCTATTAGGGTTCCCATGAATCCCTAACGGACTAAATTTGATTTCCACTTATTTAAGCCCATATTAATTTTATTATTGACAATCTAAAGACTCACTATTCAGTCTTTTCTCTTTGTTGCCTTTCCTCCTCTTGCACACAATGAGAAATCAGTTCAATCAAGGTCCATTTATCTTTTTGAGTATTATAACTCGCCTTGAACTACTCAAAGTGTGTAGGAGGGGAAATCAAAACTAGGTGCACGTGCAAGTCATCAGACAACTCTAACTTTAGTGCTTTTAGTTTTGATGCGAGATTAAGCATTTCCATAATGTACTCCCTTATGTTTCCTTTACCTTTGTATCTCATAGAGATAAGTTTAGCAAAAAAACTACTTGCATCAACTTCCTCATTACTGGTGAAATATTGCTCAACAATATCAAGGAAACCTTTAGCGTTGTGGATCTTAGAAATAGAGCCCCGAAAAGCTTTTAGAACAGATCGCTTCATGATCATGAAACACATTCGGTTTGAGGGTTCCGACTTTTCAGCCTTATCCTCATTTGGGTTTTCTAGAGCTGAAGTGGGTTTCTCAGCTCGAAGTGCAAGATCAAGATCCATGCAGCAAAAAATTATTTCAACTACTTCTTTCCAGGCCTTAAAGTTTGTCCTATTAAGCATGGGGATACAATTAATTTGAGCAGACAAGTTAACAACACTAGTAACAACAACTGTAATAGAACATAGATACAAATTTTTTAATTACATGCTCACAAAGTAAAATAAAAAATAAATCAAATCAAATCAAATATGCAGATTATTTACATAATAGACCTATTACAAGATACCGAGCACAACATTATTTCTTTGTCTTTGGACATACAAATTAATTTGTAAGTAGTACTCTCAATGCAACGATCAAATATTGACAATTAATTTTGTTAAATAATAGTCTTTCTTTGGACCAACTATTATTTACATGATTGTAACTTTATAATTGTCACATATTTATCATTACAGGCATGTTATTATTTGGCCAAATTGTGTCTTCCTTTGGGATGAACACAAATTGCATAAATAATCTCATACTAATATTTATTGTAATTTTAATTAAATTAATTTCTATAACAAGGATTACTTTGGCAATATATTACATCAATTAATTTATTAAAAAATTACTAGACATATTAATTAATAAAGAGGGTCTATAATCTGCCAAAATTCGCACTCAAATTTGATATATAAAAAAATTGATTTTTTTTTAGTTTGAACATAAATACATAAACATGCAACATCTACAAATTTCAAATTTATTAATTCAAATTTGAGCATAATAACAATGACCGAGAGATATAAGAATCAAAATCAAAAAACACAGTAATTAAATTAATCCCTTTAATCGATCCCGATAATTCATACAACCAATTAAACCAAATTGAAAAGATATATGAATCAAATCATGTAAACAAAGCATAAACCAAATATTGATTCATTCAATTTCTATCACAAAAAAAAAATAATGTAATAATACACTTTAGAACCCCATAACCTAACGACAACGACGACTCTGATACCACTTTTTGGGATAAATTTCTTAAACCAAATAGAAATTTTTCATTGATCAATATTAAGGACTGTTGTCTCAAATTACAGAGTTAAGGTTAGTAACATATACCTGTATCCATTGATGTTAACCGAAGGCTGTAGCAGAATAGCTTTTTGGTGCAATGATCCTCCTCAATCAAATCATTGGATTCCTCAACGGGACTTGATGTTTCTCTTTTGATAGGGAGACAGAGAGACATGTGTTTCTAATTTGGCATATTGGGGACCATGACCATCTTTTACAATTTTAAACCTATTAGGGTTCCCATGAATCCCTAACGGACTAAATTTGATTTTGACCAAAAATATTTTATTATGACAGCTGGAAAATCTCAATTTCAAAAAACCTGAAAGTTCAATTTCCAATTCTGCAATAATATTTGCATAGAAAGCAGTAATCAAATCATAATAGGTAAGAATAGGATCGGATGAGATTTTTAATAGGCTTTTTCAACATAAAAATTATCAACTTCATAGAATGTATACTTGCAGAAAAATACAACAATACGCGAGTAGCTTGTTTTAAACGCATGAGATTTACAAGATACAGTAACTTCCCTATGAAATTTCAAGCAACACTTACACATGTTTTGTTACAGTGACCATAGCTACATACATGATCAAGTATATTTTATTTTATTTCAACACGGTAGTTGTTTTAAATAAATTTTATGCACTCATGCGGATTATGCAACGCAGGCTCTCTCCTTTAAGCATGTATTCAAAGGCTTTATTGATTTCTGTGAAAGGTACTTCATGGGTGATAAATTTTAGCCTATCAAAATATGTAATCAAGTGACAATAGAGCTAAACTCTGATGTGTAAGTATTATATTGAATGGTCAACAATGTTGTCAGATAAATCAATAGGAATTACGAAGGAAGCATTTCCATAACAAGTTTAGTGAAACAGCTAATTCTATGATTTTGATAGTTTATCGTCATGCACTAAAACTATAAGTTCAATTATGAGAACTATATAGTTCAGAGTTTAGCATAGATTCTAATTGCAAAGAATACACCATGGTTTTTCTCTACACTCAATCATTTTCTTGCACTTTCTTATTAAGCATAGATTCTAATAAGATTTTAAAAGCAATAGGTAGAGGGGATATTGAGAATGAAAGAAGGAAGAACAAAAACCTGAGAATCCATAGGTATAAACAAAACATCAATAAATCAGTTTCCACAAAAGAAAATCCAAATTTTAGACAAATCAGTCAAGATTAAAAAAATGAATCCACACAATAATAGCACTAAAATTCTGAAACTAAAGACAGTACATAATGATAAGGTTCATATAATGTAGCTACAGACTAAGCTACTGTAGTATTAATTTACCCGATTCATATTGTAAAGAGTCTCCACCATTTTGACAGATTTGTTAGTTACAACTGCAGCCACCTGGAAATCAAAATAAATCAATAAGGCCTAAAATTTCATTAAGATTATGTAGTTATAGTTCTAAATTCTTAACAAGAAGGCCTTATGTTATAGAACAACACTAACATGAAAGAAATGCTTGTTTTATAAGTTTTCAAGGTTAGTACGAAATGTGCAACTGGATTTTTCGTTTCACAAAGGAGACTTCTCACTTACAAATGGTTATGTCATTTGATAGTCGATGGAAGAAGCAGTGTTCCTGAGTCTTGAATCCTTGATCCAATAACAGTGAGACATCTCTTAAGAAAAGGAAAGATGTTACACACATAAGACAAATTAGTTTCTTTCAAATTTTATTATTGACAATCTAAAGACTCACTAAAATCATATCGCTTTTATTGAGTCCAACTAAATGTAAATAATTAATATAAATACTACAAATAATATATATAACCCACGTTAATTATTAAAAACAAAATTTCTAACCACCTCCATATCAAACACATTAGAAATTATAATCAATAGTTATAAGTATCTAGGTTACATAAACAGCAGCAAGTATCTAGATTACATAAACAGCACCAATATTCCGGTATTAGATGAAATTTGAGGCTAGGTCATCCAATATATATGTGTATAAAATACAATTTAATCTGTTTAGTTTAAATTCAAATATGCTATTCAATTTAATTTAAAGTACCCCTCAAAAAAAATTAATTTAAAGTAGCAACGTGTTGTTGGATATAAATTTAAATGTGTTTAAGTAAATTCTTGAAATTATATATAAATAAAAAATTGTGGTTGTAAGGAAAAAATCCATAGAACAAATGAATATTTTGCACTAATAACTTATTACATATAAAAAAAACTTATTTATTAAAGTGATTTTTATTTTTTTTTTCTTCAGAAAGAAATTAATATACTTTGGAGTATACGATAAATATGATAAAAGAAATAATTTGAAGTATCAAATATCTATATCCTCAAGTCAATTACTCTAAATTATAGCAACAAGAGTCGAATTGGTTGGACTGGTTAGATCAGTTGAATTTTCACTACTGTGCAAAGTGTAATTAAATAAAATGACCCATCTTTACCCTTTTGGCAGAGCTCTAATGACAATTGCAACATAGAACTTGTTATATAGCTAAAACAATTGCTAAAAAAGTTATTTGTTAATTTGTAAAGGGCAATCTATGAATCTTACATGTGATAATTAAATAGTTATGGGAATAATTTCAATCCAGTCTTTTATTTAAAAGATTTTTTTATTATAAAATAATTTTGTGATATTTAATTAAAATATTTTTTTAATATAAAAAATCATGTAATATTTAATTAAAATATTTAAATTTATTTTACAAATACATCAAAATCTGAGAGTATTTAATTAAAATAATTAGGATATTTTTAGAATACATCAAAATTTGATGGTATTCAATTAATTTTTTTTCTCACTTAAAAACATTTTTTTATTTAAAAATATAAAGATTTCAATTGATTATTTTGATAGATGAATTTTGTGAAAAGTTTTAGTATAATTTACATAATCATATCGCTTTTATTGAGTCCAACTAAATGTAAATAATTAATATAAATACTACAAATAATATATATAACCCACGTTAATTATTAAAAACAAAATTTCTAACCACCTCCATATCAAACACATTAGAAATTATAATCAATAGTTATAAGTATCTAGGTTACATAAACAGCAGCAAGTATCTAGATTACATAAACAGCACCAATATTCCGGTATTAGATGAAATTTGAGGCTAGGTCATCCAATATATATGTGTATAAAATACAATTTAATCTGTTTAGTTTAAATTCAAATATGCTATTCAATTTAATTTAAAGTACCCCTCAAAAAAAATTAATTTAAAGTAGCAACGTGTTGTTGGATATAAATTTAAATGTGTTTAAGTAAATTCTTGAAATTATATATAAATAAAAAATTGTGGTTGTAAGGAAAAAATCCATAGAACAAATGAATATTTTGCACTAATAACTTATTACATATAAAAAAAACTTATTTATTAAAGTGATTTTTATTTTTTTTTTCTTCAGAAAGAAATTAATATACTTTGGAGTATACGATAAATATGATAAAAGAAATAATTTGAAGTATCAAATATCTATATCCTCAAGTCAATTACTCTAAATTATAGCAACAAGAGTCGAATTGGTTGGACTGGTTAGATCAGTTGAATTTTCACTACTGTGCAAAGTGTAATTAAATAAAATGACCCATCTTTACCCTTTTGGCAGAGCTCTAATGACAATTGCAACATAGAACTTGTTATATAGCTAAAACAATTGCTAAAAAAGTTATTTGTTAATTTGTAAAGGGCAATCTATGAATCTTACATGTGATAATTAAATAGTTATGGGAATAATTTCAATCCAGTCTTTTATTTAAAAGATTTTTTTATTATAAAATAATTTTGTGATATTTAATTAAAATATTTTTTTTCCACTTATTTAAGCCCATATTAATTTTATTATTGACAATCTAAAGACTCACTAAAATCATATCGCTTTTATTGAGTCCAACTAAATGTAAATAATTAATATAAATACTACAAATAATATATATAACCCACGTTAATTATTAAAAACAAAATTTCTAACCACCTCCATATCAAACACAAATAATAACTTAATTATGCCAAATAATAACTTAATTATGCTAAAATATCATAAAGGATTCCAAAATAAAATTACCTGCTTGTAAGCTTGGTAGGGACTAATTTTTCCAAAGCACTCAACTTTTTCACTAGCCTATTCAGAAGCAAAAGTAGCAGCCAAATACCAAATATAAGAATTACATATAATAATTATTAATCAATTATCATACTTCCTCTAACTTTAACAAATTAAAATCAGTGGCTTAATTGAAAATTCATAATAAAATTACAGAGTTGAGCAACTTATATAGCTCCGTAAAATCAGCTTATATACCTCTGTCCTATAGCTTGTATCAGCTATTGGAATCTTTCTTTTTGTTATCTAATCTGCTTGCAACAAACACAACAACCGTAAACAAAAAATTAAACAATAAAGTTCAAAGGCATCAAAATTCAACCAATTGCCACTAGGAAAAATAATAACATCACAACATATATAAGGTTTCAGCAATCTGGTTCAGCAACAATGCTTACCTTAATGCTTATCTTAATTCCTCGGGACTTGGCAGCAAATGTTATTCCTAATATCAAACCACGCACCACCTGCAGTTTACGGAGGGAAAGAATATGAGTTGGTACTTCAAATTACAAGCATTGTCTTCTATCTCATTGAGTTGGTACTTCAAATCTACATGCAAAAGCACACAAAAAATGAAGTGTTGTGCGGTGAGAAAAATTAGGAAAATGAGAGAAAACGAAAACCCTAACATATGCGGAACGAGAAAAGGAGAGAAATGTTGTGGATGTGGCACGGTGGAGGTGATGAGGAAAAGTTGAGAGAAGTGTTACGGTGACTTACTTGAGAAAAAGTGTGCGGTGTGCGGTGTGCGGAGGTTTACGGAGGTGACTTAGTTATGCGGTGTTACGGTGATGAGGAAATCAAAAGATAGTGCGTTTACATTTACGGAGGTAATGAGGTGTCACTATCTCAAGTAGTACAGTGAAAGGAAGAAGGAAATGTGTATTCAAAAATATTTTCAGTTTTTTAAATTAATAAAAATAATCATAAATAAGAAAATTTGCAGGAAATACTACTCACAAAAAATAAATAAATTACTTGTGAATTTATATTTAAAACAAAATTTGTAGGAAAATAAAAAAATTCCTGCAAATTTTTTTAGAAATTTTTATTTGTAACAAAAAATTCATATAATTAATATTTTGTAGTAAAACTTGTAAGAATTTTCTGCAAATTTAAAATTACAAAAATATTTGCAATAATTTATTGGAGATTTATATTTGCAAGAATTTTTGTAACAATTTCCTACAAATATTTTTTCGCATGAAAATCTATAGGTAAATGGCATATTTCTAGTAGTGTTATTAACTTTTTTACTTGTATTTTTAGAGAAACATAATGTGAGAAAAAAATAAATACCAATGAAATTTTTAAAAGTTTAATTTTATTTATATATTTTCGGTGTGTCTCACTTGTGTAAATGCAAACTTTGTAAATTAAATTATTTGGTAAAATGAAATAACTTTTTTATATTACAAAATAAATAAGTAATATGAATATTTTAAAATTTTTAAAAAGAATTAAATGTTTTTTAATTTGTAAGAAATCTACCTGAAAATTTTCTTGAAGAAATATATTCACAGGAATATTACCCGCAAATTTTTAAAATTTGCAAAAATATTTATTGTGGAATATTATGCAAATTTTAAGTATGCAATAAAATTTAAATCGACAAGAAAATTACTTACGAATTTTCCTATGATTTTTTTTTCACAGGAAAGTTTTCGTTGATTTTTTTCACAATAAAACTTGTAGGAATTTTTTTCACGACTTTTAAATCCGCCGAACTTACCATCCATGAATAATTTACTTGAGAATAACAATTCGTAGAAAAATCGGCAAAAAAAACTTATTTTTTTATGACTTTTTATGCAAAATCAGTTAAAAAAATCTTTAAAAGTTCATAAATTTCTAATAGTGAAACTGTATAACCAATCTTTATTATTTAAAAAAATATATATTTATTATATATATTTTATACGTATAAATTTCTGATAAATTCATACCAAAGTTTTCAAATACTCAAAGTGATCGAAGATTTTTATTTTTACGATATACATATAAAATATATAAAATTTATATTTAGGATGATATATATAACTGATACTTATATAATAAATGAATGCATTAGGATAGTGACAATTGTCCTTTCAATTAACCACATGACCTATGTTCAAGTTCGGCTTGTGTGTAAAATGTTGGTTTTAACTTTTGCTAAAAAGTAGTAACCACATGACCTATGTTCTTCCGAATTTAAAGGTCGAGTTGATGATATGTCATGTGTACATGTCAATTTGCATATTTCAAAATCAAACTTTTGAAAGTCTTACAAATTTCACAAATAAAATTCCTACACTATATTTTGTATACATTCAGAGGTTTAATACCACAAAGTATAGCAAATCAACCTTAATATGCTTAATATTAAAATATGTAATAATCAAAATTCCAAAAACTTAATTCCGAAATATATACAAATAAACTTTGGAAAGTGTTCTTATCTGAGATCGATCGTGAGGGACGATTTGTTTGGCAAGATTGGTGAGTCTCCTTTGGTGGCGCACGTCTATTGCTGAGATGGGGATGGTACCTACAAAAGAGACTCTAATACTAAAGTTAGTCTTTGGTAGTATGAATGTCTCGTATGTATAGTGCACGTACCTCAATGTGAATTAGGATTTTCTTTTTAGATGAGGTTGATTTGGACCCGTGGTTGGTCGTGACCCAATGGATGGTGGGCCTCTGTGTTGACCGATGTCGTGTGGCGCTTAGATACCGAGTTCAATCTCGGTATCCTACATGATTATTACAGGAAGTTAAATTTCAAATATGTATAAAAAATATTCTTAAATTTTTAATTTTTATATGCGTGAAATTTTGAAAGTTTAATTTCAGAAGACAAAGAAATTAAAATTTTGGAACTATTATTTCATACTTTCGGAATATAATTCCAGAAATAATTCTCAACGTGAAATTGGGCCATCAAATAGAACAAGTTCGCGTGTGTTTGCTTTTCATTTTGAAACGCAATTGTATCGTCTCTCCACATTAACATACAGATTTACGTAGAAGCAACTATTCATCGCTTCAAGATGAACGTGAAAAACCACGTTAAGACGCGGATGCAAACACATGCTTCGTGAAAATTCAAAGGCAATCATGGTCATTGGTCGTGTACAGATGGAATGGACCCAGCCTCACGTATGGCATCAAAGCAAAATTCAAGTGTACTCTAGGCCCAAATGTAAAAGCAAGACCCAAGGTTATTCAACACTTGCAAAAGGATGTGCTATCTTCAAATATTTTTCAAATAACAATTACAATATATATACAAAAATTTTCAAATAACCATGAGTTATTATAAAAGGATGTGCCATCTTCAATTTTTTTCCAAATATTTTAAGCAGAAAATTACAATTTTAGCCTTCAATTAATAATAAAATTTATTAGTTTTTATTTTCCTTGTTGAATGATATTTTGACCGTTTCAATTAATTACTATTTAATGTTTTAGTCATTAATCTTTTATGAGAAAAATTAGAATTAATCATTGATTTGGTACACTTTTTTTCTCCTACTTTTCAAGCTATTTTTAAACTTTTACAACTAAACTTTGACTAACTTTTTTTCGGGTAAAATTTAATATTAAAGTTTCATTTTAAATAAATATTCATAAATAAAAGCTTACATATAACGAAAATTTAATTGTTTTTCCATCCAAAAAATGAAATATAATAAAATTGAATTGTTCTATCCAGATAAAATATTAAAGACAAAGCATTTAATTGAAGCAATTAAATTACTAAGCATTTAAAATTACTTACAACCTTCAAATTAATTTTGGGTGAAGGTAATGTTGCATTCGTTTTGTGTTCAATTGTGTGACTCGTTGATGTAGATCCCTAAAGTTGAGGGTTTAGCTAGAGAGTATTTGGAGAGGATGGTTATTGTGAGCATTGGTTACATTTTGTGAAGCAACATCATGGGACCCTTTAACTTTGTTGGAATCACATTGATTTGTTTGTGTTTTGTACTTGAAAAAACTTACCCGTTTAACATTGGAAAATTAGTGCAAGTTGTTAGTCTCACATTTGGAATTAGGAATGGTCTTAAAGAAAATAATATATATAAGTTGTAAGGTTTTGGCTATTTCTAGATACCATCTGACCCCAAGTCATAGTCATAGTCATTTTCATTTTAACATAGATGTAACACAAAAACGATATTAACTCATTATTCAATAATTTATGTTTTGGACTGTCCATATTCTATTAATGGTAAATATATTTTATCTAATATATTTTTTATTTTGGTTATCCGAATTTAAAATTAATATATTTTACTTTGATAAATAAATAAAAAAAATAACTTGTTTTAGTATTTGGGACCACCTATAACATAGTTGACAAGGAAAAAAATATTAATACAACTATTCAATATTAATCAAGTTTAATTTGATATTTTCATTAACAATGATATTGATTAGTGTATATTTTAGTAGCACATTCATTAATAAGTGAGTTTTATATAAAAGATTCACCGACAATATTTTAGAAAGAGAGATTGAGATATATTTATTCTGCTTTTGTAAGAATTAAAAATTAACTAATTGTTTATCTCAAATTTTGAGACTAAACATATTTAAGTCCTCTTTTAGTAAGTTGAATTTTATCACAAGACAAGAATGGCTTGTGAGTTTGACGCAAACGCAATGATAAAGATATAATACATTATTGCTTTTTGCTGATTAAAAAAACCGGTTAAATTTCCAATTCATGGTTGTATTATTATGTAGCATTTCAATTAAATTTATTTATGCATCGTTAAATTAATTTGACATAGTTTAAGTGGAACTAAATTCATTCTTTTTAAATAAAATATTGAATTTTAATTTTGTAAATAAAAAAACTATAGTCAAAAATAAAAAATTTATTAAAAATGTTCAACTACGATCTAACAAAAATTAATAATAAATATTCTACATCAATAATATAATTAAAAAATATATCAATACATTAGAAAGAAGTGTTTGTGTGCAACTAATAGAACTCAAGTTGCAACGCGGGGATTAAATCAATTTATCTTCTGGTTAAATTGTTTAAACCATTAATTAAATGACAGGTAGCAAACTCTCTAAAACTTTTTTTTTAATACACTCTCTACCATTTACTTAAAAAAATTTTAGCAAACACAATATTTTGTGTCTTATATGTTATTCAATGAATTTTACTCATGCTTTTGTAATTTCAATAAAATTTAATTAAATATTAAACAATATATTAAAAAAAATGTGTTGATTTTTTTTTTAATGTGTGAACTATAAATATTGTCAACCAATAGTTAACGACTAATTACTTCTGAGATTTAAAAATCATTAAATTAATTTTATTTTATTTTTACAAATAAAGTCTTATCCATACATATATTACCAAGAAATCAAACATCTATTGATTAAGTAACTCAACTATTTTCAATTTCACCGAACCTTGTGTTAATCAGAAATGTATTTAAAGACTCCCCTTAATTATATCACATGATTAATGTTAAAATATCAAATGTATCATCCTTCTAACTCAACAAAAAGTGTACTTAGGTAAACAATTTGGGCAGTGCAGTTATAGAATTAAGGAACCAAATTTGCTGGGAAAAACTGGTGAGTGATGGGTACAGGAGATGGTACACGACCATAATATTGAAAAATGTCACTGTACACGATGAGCTGCAAGAATGCAACTGCTAGCTACTAAAACATATATTCAAGCATATATGGTCAATTTAAAATAGGCCATTATTGTGAGCATAAACGTGAGAAATTAAGGCTGTTTAATGCACAAGTCGAACTAACATGGATCATGTTAAATAGCCGATATAGACTTTAGTTCACCAAA